TTAAAATTGTATACTAATAGTCCTAACCTGTCTCTTATACACATCTAGATGTGTATAAGAGACAGGGCATATGGTGTTTAACTTTTTGTTGTTAATAAATTTTTTTATCTATGATGAATTTGTGATTAAGTAATTCATTTAAAGACTTCTTGTCATTTTAGTTAAAACAAGTTTTATTAGGATGCGTGCAGAAAGAATATTGATATGTGAAAAGTAATAAATTACTCCCCTCCCCTACCCCGATTTTTTTTTGGAGATGTGACGCTAAACAATGCAATGCATCATTTCGAGATCTAGTTTCTTGTATACTTGCTCATTAGGTGTTGCTTTACTCAATTTCAAAAGAGAAAAAAAAGTCGCTGCTTGTTACCATACCACGATAACTAAAAATTGGCAAGTCCAATTAGTTTCAAATTTAGTTGGCAAAATGCAATAGATGAATTTGGTGACTATTAATTATCGCAATTTCCAAATTTGTGTTTAGTTTTTGCGTACAAAGGAATATACAAACCCGCAGGGTTCTGGTTATTATTAGGCCTATTATCAATAATAGGTCTAAAGATGTGTATAAAAGACAGGTGTTAAGTCTTACCTAGTTTAAATGTACGTCCGTATCGTATACACCACCTCAAACACTCAGATTTTTTTTTAGTGTTGACGTTAATTTCACGGGAATTTACGTATATTGACGCAAATTTACCTTACATTGACGCAGATTGTTATGGTTTGACGTAAAATGACGCGATACTACCTTCAAAAAAAGTTTCCCTTATGCTAAAAATGGAAGAGCCAAGCCTACGTCACTGCTTTGCAAAGCCTGGCTGCTTTGCAAAGCGTGGCTGACTTATGTCTCGCTGCCGGTCTGCAGCAGGATCTCTATCAGCTACAGCGCGCGGTTTACTGAGTGGGTGTGTGATCTTTACTATTATTGGCCGTATTCGACTGGTCGTTCTTCGTTAAACCACGCTCACCTGCGCAGCGGCAAAATCCTACTTAACGAAGACGACTGGGATTTTCGTTAAAAAAAATATTTTTATCCAGTTTTTGAATTCTGTTAGTCTACAATTATTTTCGACGTCTTGTGGGTTTACAAATATTACAATTTTTATTTTCTCCAATATAATCTAAGTTACCGTATATTAACGCAAATGTTGTTTCTAAACTCACCAATCGGCCATGTTTGTTTTGGTCACGTGAATAACTTAACGCTGATTAACGCAGTCTGGTTTGCGTTAAGTTTCGTTGTCAACGAATTCTATTTTACGACCAACGAAACGAACCAGTCGAATACGCCCACCATTAATAGGAGAGATCAGCGGTGGGTACTGAGTAGTTCGAGGCGTAAGTAATAATAAGCTCTATTTTGACTGGCAGTAGTAATATAACAAGCCATAACTAGGTCTTTAATAAGGAGTATCTAGTAATAATAGTAGGCTAGTAGTCGCCTCTTCTCTAGCCTAGGCTAGTACTTTACTTTTAAGGCTAGTTAGACTATTATTAGTACTAGGCCTAGGGGCCTAGGCCTATTATAGGCCAATATCGGCCGCTACTGATAGCGGCCGCCCTCTAGAACGGCCGCCAATGTGTGTATATGTATGGAGCGCCGATGACGCATTCACAGTAATACAATACCGCTCGCAATTAATAATACAATACCTACCCGCTCGCTAAATACAAAGTTTTCGAGTCAACTAGGCCCCAGTCAACTCGGCCCGGCAGGTCAATTCGGCCCTTTTTTTCATTTTATATATATATAGGCCTACATACGGTATAAAATTACTTAAAAACTTAAAAAATAACCATTGAAAGAAATAAATAAATTGAAGTCGCATTAAGAATTGGGCAATTCCACGGTCGTGGACTGACATTTTTTAGTCACTTAAAACCTTTAATTAGATAATTAACAAGTATTTATTATGAAATCTCATTGCATTTAGTACTCAAAGTGTTCATCTACTTAAGTTTTTTTAATTTAATACATGCATTTATTTTTTTTGTATCATCTAGACATATCATAAAATTATGATATAATTAATGGTCGCGGACTGACGGCTGAAAAATGACCTTTTTTCAGAATTTCAGGTTTTCTTACTTGCTATTAAATATATTTAGTTTACAATCTAATTAAAGCTATTTATAGGAAGGCAGATACCTAATGAAAGAAATTGAACTGAAATTTAGAGTAAAAAAAAAAATATTTGTATTTATTTAGAATATAATAAAAGCTGAAGTATGGTCGCGGACTGACGGTCGCGGACTGACGCATTAAACATAATATATAGTACAAAAGGTAATGAGAATAATATTGAGGGAATGTCTAAAATCATTCTCTAATTTGAAAATACATGTAAAAGTAATTGTTTAAATATTAAGGATGCACAGTTTTTAATGCCTCTGTCTTATAGATAGTGACCTTGAATGTAACTAACAAACTCTCTATTTCGTGTATTCAGTAGCTAAATTTGGAATCGTTTGTACAGTATTAATAAACTTATTCTAAAGTGGAATTTAACTTAAATACAAATTAACTAGATACATAATAAATCTAAATACCAAAACAGTTATGATAATCTATGCTAGGAAATGTATATTATACTGTAAAATGTAATCCAATTAAGTTCATTATAACAATATTACAGCCTTAACATTAATGTAAGGCCAAGTAAAAAAAAATAATTGGTTAGCATCCTTTTGGTATCAAATTTCATGGTAGGGAGGGAGGTTTTTTTTTTTTTTTTTTTTTCCTCGTAGAACATGAAAAACCAGCGTCGGAAGGAAAATTAGCAAAACAAAGAAGAGGAAAACAACAGATGCCAAAATTGGATACAAGGAATCATGTAATTCATCTATATCAAGCAGATAAGCTTTGCCTATATGAATAACAGTAATATTGAAATCCCTATGAAGTTTTAAAACATGCAACATTGTATATGTTTACAGAACTGATGATATCGCAGGTTTAAAGCATTCCATCCTAAGTGGCAAGTGTAACTGCTGTTGGATGTGAAATTAAAAATAAAAATAACAGCAAAATAAGAAGATTGAAGTGTGTGTTTGCTGGACATTAATTATAACTGGACCATACTGGGTTTGTTGGAACAACAAAACAGTCATCATTGATGCCATGCAGGGGTTTCGCCAGAAAAACAAAATAGACGGCCTATTTTGTTTTTCCAAAATGGAAGCCAGTGGGCGTGGCACTGAGCCGATGCCGGGCCACGCCCATCGTTAGTAATCCCCATCGATTATTGGTACGAAAACGTACATTCAATCATAAATGTTGTTTTTATCATACGTAAATATGATTTACCTTTAGTTTAATGTAACATTCGATAGATTTGAAGAATATATAAAGAATTTGCTAAAGGTAGACCAGGCCCAATTAGGCTAAGCCGAGCTGATTAGGCCAAGCCGTCCAAGCCGTCACGGTAAAAGTTGCCTTCCTAATTGTAGGCAGTCCAAAAGACGGCCGGACGGCTCGCTCGCTAATAATATACGCATGCACTATCTCGCCACTATATTTCCAGTAATAATCTATCTATGCTGTCCTACCTATGAAAATTTATCTTTAAAATTTTATTTCGTGAAATATTGCACACAGGTAAGAAGTGAATATGCCACAGTTTTAAACTGATGGGCGCAGCCATGTTTGTTGTCTTGTCTCCGGTCACCACACAGAGTGGTTCCTCCTTGTTTCTCTTTCGCGCTGTTGTGGATGTCTACTTCCAAAGTGATGGAAATACCAACGCGCTGATTGGCCGACTTGGCTTTTCTGCACAAAGCATGAGACGTAAGCATCGGATCGGAGTTTAGTTTGAAGCAAGGACTAGGCCTAGACGAGACGATGATGGAATGGAACTGCAGGGATAAGCCCATTCCGCTGGCGTTCGGACGGATGGTAAACAAGACTAGGCCTATATAAATTGCCTTCGGGAGATGGAGTTTTTGAGTGTTTTGTAAAAAAAAAAAAAAAAAAATGTCAGGTCGGGGGCTTTTCTGACGGTCGGGCGGGGATGCTAACCAATTGTTTTATTTTACGTGGCCTAATGTATAGAGTTTTTATAGAGCATAAACAAAGTATCAATTATGTTTTAAGCCCTAGATTTAATTTGCCATGGTTATAGCATTTTCAAAATGATATCAGCCACGATTGTCCATGTAAGGAGCCTTAAGGATCTCCACTATTTGACTTAGGTCAACAATTCCGTATTTGTCATTCACATTTTTTTCAACAAACACCTTCCACTCTTTATCTTGGCGAAACAAATGTGTAATGTTTGCCTCAAAATCATCCACATCAGTTACCAATGCAACATAATGTTTGTAGCTATTACTCTTTGCTGACTGGTATCTAACCAGAACGAAGTCGCCACATGTAGGTAATCTCTTATCCTCTTTATTACTGCTTTCTGCTATTTCCTCTTCTCTCTTCATTCGAAATTCCTTCATTTTACTTGGTGGACAGGTGCTATATGGGGCATATTTAACAATGTGTCTGTTGGTGGGGACAATAAAATGCATCTTGTGAGTGTCAGGAAGTGTGAATACATCTTCCCATCGAACATCAAGACGTTCACGTTCCAAGTCTATTTCTTCCTTTGATACATGTATAACGTTAATCTTGGATGTAACCTTGACGGCAGTCTCAAAAAAAGTTTGTGGATCTATGACGTATAAATAACCTTCAGTACAAGCCACAGTGTCACCTGTAGACCCAACACTCAAGTAATAGTGAAATAATATCACTAAACCTAGGTAAAAATATAAGGGTCGCGGACTGACGTCAGTCCGCGACTGCCTTTTGGTCGCGGACTGACCATTTATGGATTATGAAATTAATAAGTAAATAATATTCTTTTTAAATAAAATTTAATCAGTACATTGAGGTTATGAATCTTGAATAGATATGTGAATTTTATGTAATTTGGACAATATTTGACACAGAGAATTAAAAAAAAACTATGTTTTTTGGTCGCGGACTGACACAAACAAATGAAATTTAAGCCACACCCAAATGACTAATTAATTAACAAAATTCAATATTTCTTCACTAGTTATGAAATTTTTGTCTCTCATTCATTGTATCTATTGAAGAATAAAAAGCTTAAATTGTATATTTATTATGTAATTGGGAAAAGAAAATATTGCATTTTTGTCTATTTTTCAAATTTGAAAAACATGTTAATTAATGAGATCATATTTCAAGGGCAATCAATGGAAATGTAAAATGAACATAAAATCTTGAAAATTCAATGTCTTCGCTTTAATTTGATACCATACTTGATTGATAAAAAACATTTTAAAATTTTGGTAGGTGTGAAAACTTTTCATGGAATTGCCCAATTGTAAATATCATAAAAATATAATTAAACCATTGCTCCAATATAACATCAAAACTTTCGATAGATCGAAGTTCTTCTCCAATAAAGTATGGTATTCTTTTCTTATTACTATTATATATAAAGCTAGTTTGGATTTTATCTATTATATCATAATTTATATATATGCTATATATATTTAAATATGTATACATATATATAATTTATATAAGAATAGATTGAAAATTGGTTTCCTCCACTGAAGAATTTCTAAAGTTCATACATATGATATTCGATTCTTAATTCTGTATACTCAAATATGTACACAATTCATGCCATCGATTCAATTGTTTGTTGCTCAATTAAAAGGAACAATACTAGTATTGTTTCATTATTTATTATATAGGCCATATATATTATATGATGATATATATATATATATATATACATATATATATATATATAGGCTA